CAAGCCATACTGCTCCAGAGTAGTTATCGATCTGCTAAACCTTGCAGAAGCGCTTTAACTTTTTTTGTTGTTTACGCAACAACTTTACTGTAAACTGAAGGTGGAAAATGGCTAGTTTTGCCGTGTGACATGGGTGACAAATACTAAAAACAACTCATTTGCAATCTGCATATTTCTTGAATTTCAGTTAAAAGCAATCAAATAGCTTTATAAGCCTTTATTTTCAAAAATAAATTTAAAAAACAAAAATCACCTCGTTATTACACATGTATAAAGAAATACAAGAAAAGGAATGACCGGTACAATTACAAGCCCCGTTTAAAAACAAGGGTGCTTCGTTGTTCATTTGGCTACTTTCTTCTGCTCGACAGCGGGTTTTTCGGGGGCCATCTGGATCGGTACGGTGCGTTCCTTCGGCGCTCCCTCAATGGCCTTCTTCGGCGCCTCGATGGTCAACACACCCTTCGGACTTAGACGCGACACTACCGTCTGAGGGTCAACCTCCTTCGGCAGGATGTACTTGCGGGTGAACGCCCGGCTGACGAATCCATGTTGATCCATTTTCTCATCGTGTTTGCCGTCAACCACCACCATGTTCTCCACCACTTTCACCTGTAGCGCAAAATCGACATGACTGACCACCGGCTATTTCGAAATCAGTTCTGCTCACTCACCTTAATCTCCTGTGGCAAGAACTGCGAGACATCCATACTGACCGTGAATTTGTCCGCCTCGTTTTTCACCTCAGATATACCACTTCGTCCCTCACCCTCTACTGGTCGCATGCGAGCCCAGTATGGGGATACACGAAACGAATCGGTAAGCGGCTCGGTGAGCAGGTCCCACATCGGTTCCATGGCGAACCGCTGGTCAAAGATGCGACTCACTGGCGGCCAATCCCAGTAATCGCTGCCATGCCAAAATGGATGCCGGAAAGGAATTAATCCACTCATCGCAAAACACCACAAACAAGCAAAACCAACTTCACAAAGTGATCAGCTGCAACCAAAACGAGAGTTTATATACCGATTCGATGAGCTACGAATGCTCTAGAATTTTCTCGCAATTTCATTGAACTTGCGGATCAAACAGAACCGTAAACAGTAGGTGCTGTTTACCAGTAGTGGTTTCGTTATAGTCCTTATAGAAGGATTAATGCTTAAACCAAATCATAATAGAACTTGTTTTCAGAATGAGGGAACAGAAATGAGTAAAATAATTAAATAATTATTTTGCTAGAACAAATTGGACAAACAGCATAACTTAAAAGTTAGCAATTCGAAAAACAATTAAAATTCGCCTCATAACTCATATCTGACGCTTCGAGCCAACTAAAAACTGTCGTGACCAGCGATTAAAAATTCAATAATCACAGCCTAAAAATATGTATTTAAACTTCCCCATCAGACAACACTCATCAGCAGCTAGCAGTGGCCAGATCGACGGCATTCGGTATTAGTGTCAAGCAGGAAGATGTTTTTATCTGCTCTTACCCCCTCCCCCCCTCACAGATATACAGAGTACAAAAGCAAAACAATTACTATAAAATGCCGAAATAGAACAAGATCTGAAACTTTAAGGCAGGAGTATTCATGAGGGCACAAATTAGGTGACATGAAACTGAATTTACAGACAAAACAGTTCTTGTTTTCGAGATGATGAGTTATTCCAGTCTAACAGAAATCGAGGAACAGCACGTTATTAAACCTGTAAGGGTAAGTTGGAATCTTGCAACATTCGCTCAGCTTTAAAGAACGTCTTCACCTAAAGCAACTGCAGGAAGTCTGCCTATAGAGCAGCAGGGAACGGATATTACTTCTTCCCTACACGAAATCACACAAGCTGTGAAAAGCATGAAAAATGGAAAAGCTATTGGATCTGATAAAATCCGCCCTTAAATGATAAAAGCAATAGGCATGTGCTATCAAAAATGTCTCTGCCAAACTGAATTGGCTACAGAAAAGACACACGCGGACTAGAGAACGGGATTTGCTGTACCACTTTTTCAAGAAGACCGCCAATAAGAAGTGCTCCAAATACTGAGGGGATAGCTTATTGGGCCTCCCGGCTAAAAGCTGCGCAAAGGTACTAAAAAGGAGGTGCCGCGGAATGACTGACTCAAAAATACAAGAAGAGGAGTATGACTTCAAAACCTGGCCGAT